AGAAAAATGATAGTATATTGGTGATGTAATTTTAATGAAGTAATTAGAAATCTAAAATGATTAAATTTAGAAAATATCAGGAAGACAATTACAATGTGTCAAGAAAACAGTCGAACATTTGATTGGAGGTGGTATTATAGTTTGGAATTTTAACAGATGATAAATTAGAAACAGCACAAATTGGCTATTCATGTGGTTTAAATTGATAAATTGTAAATAAATTTAATAAGCTTATTTAAATCCGCTTCCTCTTCAATCAATCAATCAATCAATCAATCAACATTTCACGTTTTTCAAGCGCTGTACTTGCGCGCTGATAACCAGGCTCCCATTTCTCATATTCTTCCTCACTAAGAAAACAAATAATACTGAAAATTAAATAAGAAAATAAACTATAAGAAACGAAAAACAAAAATATAACAAATGGAACAGATCCCGTAGACGATTTTGCCACTAATGGAACATAGGATAAAGGTATAAATAATAAAGAAGAAAGAAAGAAAAAACCAACAAATGTTTAATAATAATCTCTTTAATAATAATTTACATAATTTTAAATGAAAATATGTTTATTACATAAATGAGTGGCTTATAACCGTATTTAAAAAACCAGTAAACCTTAAAGATGCAAAAGAGAAAAATGTCGATTGATATAAGTTAGAGAATACTACGACGAGCAAAACATCAAAATCCGTGCCAAAAACTTACTCAGTCAGTAATACCTCCTTTTCACAAGAAGGGTGGAGCAAAGGAATTTTCCAGAAATGTTTGTTGACATCAAAGTAGCCAGAATATTCCAAGTGATCGCCAGTGATCACTCTTTTACTTTTGTCATTAAAGTAATATTCTCTAACTTACAGTCAATATTTTCGTCTTAAGTTTTACTGGCAAGCGGTTACGGCACGAATTTATATAAGGAAGATAACTATGTCTTGTTGAATTTTTTTTCAAAGTAACGAGTTTTTTTTTTTTTTTTTTTTTTTTGCAGCCAGTATAATTAGAAACAGTACTTTCCAAAATAATTCCACCGTATTACGCTGCAAAATATTTTCTGCAGAAGATTAATCATAGATTTCACCCACCCACACATCAATTTAAAATTAATATATAAAAATTATGAAAAAAAAAGGTTTTCGCACTTTTGACAAGATTAGAGAAAAATCATTAATCTATCATTTACTAATTAGTTTAAATTGCTAGCCAAAAGAACTGATGGAATCAAACTTACGTAATAGACAGCGATCATGTGCATTTCCTCATGCACATGGTTCATCAGCTGCCGGTATATATGGACACCACGAAATTTGCGGAGTAGCATTAATTGAAATAGAATTATCTTCTCGGATTATGTTCAAATATTTTGTTCTAAAAACCGCTTTTATTTGTATTGAAATCACATTTCAGAAAAAAAACTTCACATGAGCTACATTTTGGGCTTCAACAAAAACAGCTTTATGAGTTAAAATAACAAAATAAAATCTTATTCTTTTGCTGATGAATTAGAAATTGCAATTTTAAATTTGTAAATACTCATTCATATTTGATTAAAAATAAATTTTCTAAAGATACAATGTTAATAACGGTTCCCATGACGTAATAATTGATCACCATTATACCGACCATTATACCATATGACATCTATAATAAATTTCTATTTATTTGTCATAATTTACACTAATTCATTATAAACTATTAATTTTATAAATAAATTTTAAAGGCTTAGAAAAAAAGTTATCAAAAAAAAAAAAAAATTGGAAAAACACTAATAAATACTTTTCAATTCTTACCATTTTTAAATGTTTGATATGCAATCAAAGAAATTACTGCAGCATGCACTAGGCCAGTGAATGTTCAGATAAAATAAGCCTAAAATAAATATTGAACATATATAGTGTTAAGTACTTATATAAATTAGTGAAAAGTTTGACAAAGTTATCTAAGTATGTAAATGATATTAGATTTTCCAGTAATTCTAAAAATCTCAGTAAAAATGACGAATAAAATTTCAAAAATAAATTGAAATTTTGAATAAAAAAAAGTTATACTTTAAGCGAAAATCCTTCACTATTCTGTGATAAATGATATAAAGTGCTGGATAATCGATAATCACTTCAAATGGGAATAATCGATCCCAAATACCAATTGCCAAAGGTGGCCAACTAGTAAAAAATATATTAAACATTACCAGCGACCAACTATCCATTATTGCCGAATCAGCAAATAATGTATGAAATTCATAAAAGAACTGCAAAATTTTTAATTACCATTAAAAATTTTATTACTTATTTATTACTAATGAAATGAACACACTTCACCATTGTTAGAGTAAAGAAAATTAAGTAGAATAAATGAAGAAGAAAAATTTCATTTTTGTATTTTTTAAATTGAATAATTTATAAATATTATTCACTGGTTTTATGAAAGCTTGAAAATTTATAAAACGAGTTTAAATGCCAATTCGAAAAAAATTTTTCTCTTCCTTTTTTTTATCAAAAGTCCAGATGTTTTACAAAACTTAACAGGACTATAAAATCCAACCTTAAAATTATCGGCAGTTTTTCTGAATAACACTATCTATTTTAAGATCGAGAAAGGTTTGCATTGATTCCTGTTTTCATTGATCAAAGATTCTAGCTTCAGAAACAGTCTCTCATCACAAGACATGATATCTTCACCTAAGCAAAATCAAACAAATATTAATTGTGGGATGTTAGCCACAAAATAATTCAAAATATTTTTCATGAATCAACAGAACATTTTACCCAGATCACCTACATTCATCGCATTTTTCACCACCTAATCTTTTCCTTTTGATCACTTATTGCTCTTTTGGCGATATAGTTGACGATTATGCATTAGATGGGATCATTTTTGAAGAAATTGTTTCCGTTAACTTTCCAAAAATTGGCGATATAAGGAAGTGAAAAGACCTTCGCTCGTCAAAAAGTTGTTAGACTGTAAATGTGTAGTACTAGGTGTAATTTCATCATTTTAATTAAGATTGTTTAACTTATTAATGTTGCTGTTATTAATATTATTGTTGATCTTATAATTAGTTTTATTATTGTCTTCATTACTGCCATTATTACCATTACGATTTTACTGTTTTTCTCATTACTACTAGTATGATAACACTGTTTCCAAAGTACTAGAGATGAGCTTTCTGATTGGAGGAAGAGAAGGAGTATAAATCTTAAGAATTTTATTTTAATTTTGGTTTTCACTTACCTCATTTACTTTGCCATGCATTTTTTGGAGAGGGTTAAACGAATCTCTTTGTGATAGATTCAATTCCTCCTGATTTTTTTAATTCAATTTCATTTCCGTGAATAAATTTGTTGACCATACTAGCAACTTTTCCCGTCCAAAAGGAAAAGATTAGGTGGTGAAAAATGCGATGAATGTAGGTGATCTGGGTAAAATGTTCTGTTGATTCATGAAAAATATTTTGAATTATTTTGTGGCTAACATCTCACAATTAATATTTGTTTGATTTTGCTTAAGTGAAGATATCGTGTCTTGTGATGAGAGACTGTTTCTGAAGCTAGAATCTTTGATCAATGAAAACAGGAAGCAATGCAAACCTCTCTCGATCTTAAAATGGATAGTGTTATTCAGCCGATAATTTTAAGGTTGGATTTTATAGTTCTGTTAAATTTGTAAAACATCTGGACTCTTGATAAAAAAAAAAGGAAAAATTTTTTTCGAATTGGCATTTAAACTCGTTTTATAAATTTTCAAGCTTTCATAAAACCAGTGAATAATATTTATCTCAGGAACAGCAAATTTTAAATTGGCGCTGCGCTTCGCCAAGTTGGCACAATGCCAGGAACGATTTCTTTCGGTGCGGCAATTCTTTCAAATATGATATTTCAAAGATTTTGAAGCGAAACATCAAATGTTATCCATTGGAGTTTTGTTTCACCTTTTATAACAGCAATTCAAATTAATTGAATTAACATAAATTCGAGGCAAATTTCCTGACAGACTGACTTTTGGCAAAAAGCAAGTTCACATCAGGATTGCTAACTGGCAGCAGAATTGACTCTCACAACATTTCCAATTCAAATGTCTACAGTAGCTTTCATCGAATATTGAGAAACAATCCGATGCAAGGCAAATCTGATTCATTTACGATAAATTTACAAGCGTATGTAAATAATACAACCTAGCCTAATACTTTACATACCGCAGAGAAGCATCAAAGATGAAAAAGCAGGATGAAAAGTTATGTTCTTATCACTGTATATAATTTGACCAAATTTTGTTAAGAAAGAAAAAAACAGAAAAAAAAAAGAAAACTTTATGGGTTCCTCCTTAGCATTTTTAATTTTCTGATTAATATATCCATATTGTTGGTGAAAATTTTTGGAAGAAGCTCTCACGGCATAGCCTGATGCCTTACCGATCTCTGAAAATCAATCGTCGGCTGGTAAATTTGCAAAATTTAGCATACATCTCTTTCTTCAAGCTATTATGGAGGAAAATTATCGGTTATCATGTAATAAGCAATTCTTAATTGTGACTCATAATTTGTAGTACATCTGACCAAAGATTTCTAAAGTTTTTGCATTGAGGAAACCGCCTGCATTTGGCTTGAAACCTTATTGAAGATTTAAAAATTTTCTTCAGATATATTATATAAAATGCGCCTCCCTCTTCTCCCTCTTCTCCCCTTTCTGCCTCCTGTCCTCCCTCCATCCTACGTCATCTTCCTCTCTTCCCTCTCTCCTGTCCCCTCTATCTCTCCCCTTCCTCTTCTTTCCCCCTCTTTCCTTTCTCTCCCTCCTCTCTTCTTCACTCTCTCTCCTGGAGGTGGTGATGAAATAATTAGTTCAGATGACAGCAATGAATTGGAAGACAATACGCTAATTGATTTCGATATCGGATACCTAATACGTGATGTTGAGGGTTATCATAAAGGAAATTTGGTTATGGAACGTGCAAGAGAGCTACTTTCCAGAAGCGACTTCAATTTTAAGAATAAAATAAAGAGTCGGATGAAAGGTGAGGAAATTTTTCAAATGATATTAGCTTTATGGACTTAGTTTGTTATTACTGATACCATGATAAGATGTTAAACATTAAGTATCATCAAATATTAAGTTGAGCTCAAAGTGCGTTTTGATGATATTTAAAAAATGATTGCATTAATTTTAAAATATTAAATTGAATTTTTTCAGTTCTTTGCATTTGCAGATCGCCGAGATGGTGAAAAATTCATGGGAGAAATTGAACAGTCTTACACAAAGCTAACAGATTTTTTCGGTGCATTAGCAAAGCACCGCAAGCGTGGGCAGCATCTTCTGGCTGAAATTGAACGAGCTAAACGTTACTTTACTTTGCAACTGTGGGATGTGACTGTTGTGGAAGATGTACGCAGTTCATTTTTGTGGTTTGCATAAAAGACTTTTTATATTTTGTTTTTTAAAATAGGCGGAAGACCGTAGTGCTTCAAGTCCTAGTATTTAAATTTTATCATCAAATTATACTCTTTCAGTTACAAATTTGATATAAAATTTTAATTAGCATTATCAGTTGTTATTTTTTTAGGCTTACCAAAAATTTGGTGCTGGGATTGATGAAATGATGAACTCATTTATCTGTTCATTAAATAATGATTGTACAATGATAAAATTTAAATCATTTCTTCAAAACACACGAAAGGCCACAATTAAAAGACCAGTAAAAGACAAATATACAAAGGAGAAAAATGTTGACGTATAGATTAGCGAGCACCGAAACGTGCAAAACATCAAAATCCCTGCCGAAAGTTCTGTCACTCAGTGATACTGTCTGTGAGTGATTTCACAATAAGTAGAACAAAGGAATTTTCCAGAAATGTTTGGAACATTTTTGGTGCTTTCGTACTCTTTCTGGTTGTTTTTATTATTATTATAATTTTTTTTGCTTTTTATTTTCTTTGATTATGTTTGTTTTTCTTAATTTCAATTATAATTTTTTAAGTATTTGTTATGGTTTTAATTTTTACAATGTTTTTTGACTGGTTATATTCTTTTTTTTTTTCTTTTTTTCCTTTCTCTTATTTCTCTTATTAAGTTTGAGTAGTACTAATTTAAGATGTGGAAGCTTTATACGGGGATTATAAATATTAGATAGATCGTACTTTTAACTTGAATTTAGTTTAATTAAAATTTCTTTTTTTGGATTAGAAGATGTCTTCCAAAATTTGTTTGTTTTTTTTAATTTTTCTTCCTGCTAGTTTTACTTTGAATTATATATATATATGAAATTTTGGTAGTATATTAGGTATTATATTGATATCTCAGATTGTTACTGGTTTTTTTATAAAACATTTTATAATTTCTCATAGCTCGTGTTTTTTTCTTTTATTATTTCTGTTTAATGTCAGTCATTTCGATTCTGCATTCCGGTTTTCTTTAAAAATGATTTATTTACATTGTCTACATATACAATGTGTTGTTAAGATCATAGAAAAAGTCATAAAATTTCTGAAAAAAAAAAAAAAAAGAAAAAGAAAAAAAGGAATGCACTTCAGTTACAAAAATAAAGGAATGATCATTGGCGATCACTTGAAATATTACGGCAACTTTAATGTTATCATACACTTCTAGAAAAATTCCTTTGTTCCCTATTTTACTAATAGTAAATGAAGAAATAAAATAAAAACTTCCTTAATAAAGATCATTTTTTGAACACATAAAAATAACAACTTATATTCGTTACAAAGCATAAAAATATGCTCTCAGTTGATCATTTGGCTATTGTCAGTTAATCATTTGGTTTGAAATCTTATTGAAGATTTAAAAATTTTCTTCAGATATATTATATAAAATGCGTAAATGTGGGATGAAATTTTACGTCATTTCAAATTCTACTATTTGTCAAACAATAGTAAACAAATGTCGCATTGAAACAGACACAATATGATGTTTGTACTAGAATATTTCCGGAACAATTAATCGCAATGCATTCAATTTGTGAGGATTAACTCATGGATTATTTTATGTACATTTGCATATTTTATTGATGACTAATATCATTTATACGAACCAGAAGAGAATTCTTTTGTGTAGATAGTTTATCATGGCCATGACAAATATGACTAACTGGTTGAAATATTGGTTCTAAATTATGAGATTTATTTGTCACTTCTTCGTGCTTGAATTTCTATCCAGTGTTGTGATTACTTTTCTACTGTTGTTAAACATATCTTATATAACACTTACTGTTGCCCACTATCCCACGTGGGTCCCACGAATTTCACTTCACGTAATCATCGATTCCGTTCAGCATCTGTTTCTTTCGTCGAAATTTGTTCCTATTCTAAACTGTTCGATATTTGTGTGGTTATGTTCTTCTATTTGCAAAGCGGGAAGTAGGTCATAGAAGGTTCGAGATTTTTGATCTGATCAGTTTCTGATATCGGTTACTGTTTGCTGCCAGTATCGCAAACATGCTCCCTGGAGAACGGTAAGCTGAATTTTCCGCTCCCTCTCCTCCTCCCCTTCCTCATACTTTCAAGTACTTTACTTAATATAGTAGTGAAATGGTTGTGTATTAAAAATTTGAATTTGACTGCAACATGAGAAATTTATCCTTTATTTAGACTTCGACAAGTGAAATGAATTTTACATTAAAAAAGCATGGTGGTACAACAATACAAATTTTTTGAACTGCGAAAAAAAAGATATTTCGACGAATAAAGCCATTGCAAATTTCAAATTCCTGTATCATTCAATGCCGTATCATTTTTAACCTGCACGATTCCAGCTATAACTCTACAATTGTGATCGCCGTCGAAAGGTTTAGTTTTTTTTTTTTATAATTTAAAACATTTAAAAATGTAAAAACTTCGGCAAATAATTTGGAATCATTAACTGATTTAAAGCAGTTGTAATTTTGCAGTGTATTTATTCTTCCTGATATGTTTGAGCAATTTCAGATAAGTTCATCATTTTGTATTTGTTTGAATGTAAATTGGCACAATACCAGGAACGATTTATTGAACTCTCATTTCTTGAAGTTGATTTTTTTTTTTATTGAACTCTCATTTCTTGAAGTATTTCGTTGTTTCTGAGCGGTTCCGGTTTTCTTTATCGGTTTCGCAAGAGTTTTATTTCAGGTTTCGATTTGGGGAATCTTTTTTTTTTTTAATATTCTGAAATGAAGAAACTGTTGAATATTATATTAGAAGGCAGTTATGATAAGAAACTTGAAAAAAGGAATATTAAAGATCAACAGGGATGCAATCAATATTATTTGTTTTCAACAGATAATATTCAATATTACATCCTTAAATTCATTTTATTGTCATTTCATGAATTGGCAAGTTTTTACATTTGACTTCAGCTTGGCATCGAGCTATCTGATAGGTATGTATCGCATTGAATTAACTACTCTTATTTCTTATTTAATAAAAAAATTTTTTTTGGATTTAAACTGAGTTCATTAAATACATAAAAATGACAGTGATTTTAAATTAAAAACGAAAGTAGTTAAACTGCAACTGAATTAAATTTATAAATTAATAATTAAAAAATTAAAAACGGGGAAAGAAATAAAAACAGTTGTCATGGAAAAATTTAAAACCAAATAAAATTTATAAATACCATTTAAATTTAATTTTGATTTAAAAAAAAATTTTTTTAATTAGAAATGAAGTAGTTATTTTTATCTTTATAAATATTGTAAAATGAATGTACACAAGCCTTGCATTTTAAAGAGGATAAGAAAGCTATTCTCGTCTTCTCCATTCTCATTATAACAGGCTCATCTATTTTCATAGTAATCTTACTGTCTATCGCTATTTTAATATTCATGAATATTCTATCATTGCACAGTGATATAGTAGACAAAGCTTTGTTCACCCACAGTCTTCATTAACATTACCGGCACTTTTTTTATCAATATTCAAAGCTCGTAAATATAAAATAAAATCCGAATGCGTTTCACAGTTTGTTTCATTTTGTCTCATTTTATTGTATCTTGTACCACTTCGCTTAAGCTTGATCCGAAATTTTTCATAAATATAAAATGAAATTTGAATGTAAATTTAATTAAGGAATTTTCTCATGGAAATATTTAAAATTAAAATTTATTGATAAAAAAATTTAAAAATTTGATAAAATGGAGAAGGAAATAAGAAAGTTGCCATGTAAAATTAATGAAATATTGACAGTGATTCTTTTAATCAAAAAAAAAAAGTTAGGACAATATTAAAATTCAAATATAATGGATGATGACTTGTTTATTGTAATCGAAAAGAAGACAAACAACGATAATATAAGTTATCATATAATCTGACTCACTTATTTTGCATACGTTTTAATTTAAAGAATCATTGTCAATATTTTGTTTATTTATAAATTTAATTTAATTCCAAATTTTCTCATGGCAATTTCTTTTATTTTCTTCTCTTGTTCTGCAGTTTAACTACTTTCGCTTTTAATTTTTCTAATTTTTTCAGCTATTTATATTTACAAAGTTTGAAAATTGGTAAAGAAATGTCTGTGACACCAATGAGGACTGTGGTTGGACAAAGCTTTGTCTACTATCACTATGCGATGATAGAAGATATTCTTGAATATCAAAACAGTACAGACAATGAGATTACTATGAAAATAAATGAGTCTGCTATAATGAGAATAGAGAGGAAGAAAATGATTTTTCCTATCCTCTCCAAAATGCAGGGCTTGTTTACAATATTTGTAAAGCTAAAAAATTAGTTTTTTTAAAATGATTAATATGGTTTTAAAAATTTGTGCATAATTATGAGAACAAGAAAATAATTGCTAACAGTGTTTGAATTTTGACGATTGTGTCATTTTGCGTCCAGCTGATTTCAATTGATTCAATCTCTAGTTATACCTGTTAATAAGGAGGTTGAATTGTATGAGTTTATCGTTCATAAATTGAACTCTTAAGAAAAACTCATTGGTTGAATATATTAAAGGTTTTCGATACCTTTTGGAGAATATGGAACGAGGAATATCTGAATAGTCTTGAAGGAAAAACCCAAAGAGAATATTCTCCTCTAAGAAATGTAGTAGGAAGAGCTCTCAGTGAGGGAAAGATTGTGCCAGTCAATAATCCGGACATGTGGAAACTAACCAAGATAAGGTAAATTAAAAAAGGAAGGGATGGAGAAGTAAGAAGTGTCTCAATAGAATTACCATAAAAGAAATTCTCAACGGACCGGTGAATATGCTATACCACTGGATATCAAGGGAGAAGAAAATTCGGATTCTCAACCATTTCTAGCTCGACGAGCTAACCGATGCAATCAAAAAAGATACCTAACCATTCTTGAAGTATCTAGCTTCTTCAGTCGAGAATGTCACGAAACTCGAAATAATCTCGCGAACCTCCAAATAACTTACAAAACAAATAAAATCAAAAAAAAATTGTCAAATAAAATTGTATTAATCAAATATATAAATAATAAAATTCAAAATAAAATTATCAAATATATCAAATAAAATGGTATTAATCAATAATACTAAAATTCGTTGTAATTGAACGTTAGAAATGTAAAACTGTTCCAAATTATAAATCACGTAAGCAGTTATTATTTCAACACTCACCTTCCATTGTAGTTGAGCTTATCTGCTTGTCTATACGTTTTCAACTGATAACAAAGGGTATGTGCATTGCTTAACATGTAAAACTTACTTCTTTGTTCCAAATCAAATTTGCTTACAATGTCGAAAGATTGTATAGGTCTTCTAAACTGATAGTCATCC